TAAATCTGACCAAAAAATAAGAAAGTTAAGAATTTTGAAAGTTGTAATCACTACACGAATGGGCACTTCAAGTTTGCTGAATCGGTAATGTCACTGTGACAAAGTGCCAGACTACTCTCCAATTTGTTTCAACACAGAAAATTATTAAAATGACAATTTTTCAAAAATGTATGATGCAGGAAGGGCTTTTCTTTTTAGAGGACCTATAATGATATGCTAATAATCCTATCTGTGATTAGTACTTTGATACTTTGATTAGTGCCCCAAGGGAGAAGGCACTTAGGAGAAAAAGAAAAATTAATGATTTTTGTACCTGACAAATGGGAGAGTTGTCTCTTGACAACGTCACACTCCACTGACTAAAATGCCAATGCTAAATTCGCATGGATTTAGTGATCTCACATTTCAAACATTCTCAACTCCCTTATTAATTAACAGCCAAAAATGTTCATGATCAGTAACTGATAGAAGATCATTCATATAGATCAAAAACAGCATTGATCCTAATACTGATCCTTGTGGAACACCACAGCCTGATTTATTTAAAACTTTTGCTATTCTGTTTCTCTTATTCTTCTGCTTCCATACCAATGAAGTGATTATGAGGGTTAGATTACCCTTTAAGTTTGATAACTAATTTGATATCCAGTCCTCTCTTAAAGACCACAGGGGTTTATTCTTAGAATAGAACTTGTACAGCATCACAAAGGATTACAAGGGAAGATGATCGTTTTTTAATTCAATTTACCAAAGAACTTTAACAGGAAGCATATATATGTACAATGTATTTTCAATTGAGTGAAACAGGGGATAGCGAAAAGGTGCCAAGGAAGCTATATTCTACTCATTGAAATCAACACAGAAAACATTATTATCCATTAAAGTCACTTATCTTTTTTTACATTCAGATACTTCTTAAATATCTCAATTTTCTATGAGGAGTTGTTCTTACTGATGACCTCCATGTTAATGTATAACCCAATTAACAAATATATAACATCTTTATTAAAAAGTAAAAGAAAAGCAGAAAGAATTAAACTGATTTAATATTTTCAACAGAAAACGTCTCAACCTACAGACTATTTGCCCCCTCGCTTGGAAATGTTACGTTTCAGCATTGCTGCCCAATGACGTCAAGCATCGTACAAAATGAGGTAACAGAATTGGGATAAAGTGTCAAAGATCTCATTACCGTCCTCAATTCTGAAAATCGTTTGACCCAGATCCCGGCATGAGGTCACGGATGAGGCGGGCAAAAGACCATCCCTGGGTGGAGCAAACCAATGGAATACACTTACCCCCATCATACTTTATATAGTTCAATGCCCTAATTGCATTTGTACGTATTAACCTGTCCGCACAAACATGTAAGATGAAGTTACAATAACTTAACTCTCTGTCTATGGGAACAGCATAGTTCCAAAATGAACTACGGTATATGTATTATGGGAATGACAGAATTATTTACTGGTATTGCTTCATAAAAAGGCTAAATCAGGTTAAAAATGATATTAAAATATATATATATATATATAGGAAGCTGCACATGTATATTGCACATGTACTTGTATATATAATCCATTTTCAACTTCACTTTTCCTATAAAACATATCAAACCTTTCATTTTGACAATCCCCCCCCCCCGCCTTCTTTTTTGTTGCCCCACAAGTAACAGTTCTGTCTCTCCCACACACTATTTGTTTTCATGATTTCATATTTTTTTCTCTTTTGTTGTGTCACTAATGTACTATTCATGCACTAACATGGACTTTATGTAATGTACAAATCAATCACTTTCTCCAATCCTCCACAATGGAAGGACTACAAAAACTATACAATTGAAGATGTATTACATGTACATAACATATTTAATATTTATAAATTTAAAAAAAGTATTTTTGACCAAAATTGGAACATCGTGAGGGTTAGGTGGGTTGAAATTAACATTTCCATTTGTTTAGGATCAGTAGAAGATTAAAATTTTGCACAACTCAATGTAATGTTCCGATTTCTTAATTTTAGCTGATGGAAAAAGACTACCTGTACATATACTATACATCTAAAGGCATATTACATAGCACATTCAAAATGTATATATATCACTAGAAAAAGATTTGACTCTGTGCAGCCAAAAATATGCCTCCGTCTGCAACATAATCACTATATTTCAATTATCGGATTAAAGGTAGTTGCCCTCATCATAAAGAACGAAATGGAATAGAGTTTAAAAGAAGACAAGAAAAAGCAAGAGCAAAATACTTGGTCACTTAAAAGAAATACATGATTTGAACTTGATTTACACAAAGGCGGTTTCTGCCTTTAAATCTTTCATCAAAGAATACATCTCCTTTATAAAGGCAAGCTATTTAAAGGCTCAGTTTGCACCGATAGATTTCACAAGGCAATCCTATTTCACAATTGCACTTTCATCTGGAGGGCTGTAATAGCTGATATGATAATGACTACACCATAACTTAAAGGTGCTGAAGGGAGCTATGGGAAGAGTTCAGAAATAACCCTAAGCCTTATTAGTTTCATGGTCTTATTATGATCTCATTCTTCTCATATCTTCTCTTGTGTATCAGGACAACTGGTCATGTTATTGGCAGAAAGTCATTAGCATGAATGCGTGCCACAAAGTAGTTTGTGATACGCAAATTTAACTAATTTCTGAGGTCTTGACTGCTCTATAGATATTATAAAATTTTAAAACATGACAGGGATTTCTCTCTGTACTGACTTATAAAAAGGAGGCAATAGATTAATGCAAGTAGCTTGGCATCAAATAAGCACAGTATCTTTTTTTGAGTTATGGGCATTTTAATGCTAAGACCTCCCCCTCACAAAAAAGGCCCCGATTACCAGTACAAAAGTACTTTACGGGTAATCGAGTAAGAAAAGGAAGGAGGGAGGGGGGATGGTGGGGGAACAGTTGTCCACGAAAAAATTATCTTTATTTCTTATACAATATCAAAGTCATTATCATTACACATTTTTTTCTACTCCTTCTTCCTCCTCCTCCTCCTCCTCCTCCTCCTTCTTCTTCTTCTTCTTCTACTCCCTTTCCTCCTTTTTTTTTCCTTATCATCATCATTATTGCTATTATTATTTAAGAACAAACAAGAAACTAATTTAGATAATCTTGCATCTATCTTTAATTTCCCCTGATTTCCTTTAACCAAAAATAGTATATTTGAAGACTGACTACAGAAGTCAATTTAATTCAACTGCAGTGACATAATAATATCTTATAAATAACTGCTTATGACCATTACCTTAAAGACCTGAGAAACCGATCTCCCTTTTAGTGATTGTTAAGTGCTATAGATAGACTGCACAGTAAATGCACTTTGTTTGGCTATCACCCCCACAAAGTGATGTAACGGCACATTCAATAGATATGCAGATAATGAACTTTAGGGCCCCTAGCAACCTGGCAACGGCTCTTAGATTTACCAATAAACGTGACAATGTTGTGGGCTGGCATGTCTGAAGCATTCAATAGATATCAGAAAAGGGGAATTTCCCTCAAGTGTCGATATCGTGTTTGCATTCATGAGCATTTCAAAACATCTGGGACGAGAGCAATGGAGTGGAAATATGAGATGCAAGACATACAGGTGTAAGCCCTGTTCAGACTCAGGGAGATTTATACAAGACTCGTATAAAGAAACATTGTATAAAGAAACATCGTACAAAGAATCAGCGTATATAAATAACTGTGACAATGAACCGATATATATAGCGAAACTGGATAACAATATCATATAAAGAATGTTGTATAAGAAACCAGTTTGGATAAGGTCAGTTGACATGATGATGACACCTGGCCAAACATGGAAAAAGGGTAATCTCAATTCTTGGATAGTGATACATTGAATTCTGGAAGTCTGAAAGGGGGGGGGGGGGAGGAGGATGGTATACAACCAGACAATGATGGGGTGGGGCACGCAGAGTGTCAATCCTCAATCTTGAAAGATATTTTTAGAACATATATGGAGGTGGAAGAGAAAACACTTTTAATATACTGATGGGAATCAGCACCGAACGTTATTTTCTTCAACAAATTTGAAAGATGGATGATATTTATCACCTTCATATACGAGCAGAGATAATGGGGAGTGCTAATAAATATCATATAAAGGCTCGATCACATATGCTACACTATACATTTCTTATGTGCATGTGAGTGGCAGGTAAGGATGATAAATTTAGCTGCTACAAAGGTGCTACACGTACATGTATAGCTGTCTTTGTGTTTTAAGATACAATAATGTTAAGTGCTTTATGCATAAAGTATGCTTTAAACACTCATACCGTATTAAACTGCAGTAGTGTACGTAGCATAAGAGAACAACAACATTACTGGTAAACCAGTCATCTATTAAAACATTACTTATCGCTGGTATTTTGTACACAGTATGTTGAGGGTGTTACATTCACTTTTCATCAAAGGAGGAAAACAAGGAAATTCAAAAATGAGAAAGAAAGCAAGAGAGAGAGAGAGAGAGAGAGAGAGAGAGAGAAAGAGTTGGAGAGAGCAAGATGACAAAAAAACCCACATATACAGCACATAATTTAGATCTTTAGAAACATATCGTTAGACTGACACACTGATGCTGAGATACATGTACAGTACTCTGACTGAAGAAAGAAATTTAGGCAGAGCAACAGAGAAATATAGGGAAAGAGAGAATAACAGAGAAGGGGAGAATTGTAGGGACGGCGGAGAGAATTATAGGGAAGGGGAGAATTATAGGGACGGAGATAATTATAGGGAAAGAGAGAATTATAGGAAAGGGGAGAATTATAGGGAAGGGGAGAATTATAGGGACGGAGATAATTATAGGGAAAGAGAGAATAACAGAGAAGGGGAGGATTGTAGGGACGGAGAGAATTATAGGGAAAGAGAGAATTATAGGAAGGAAAAATTATAGGGAAGGAGAGAATTATAAGGAAGGAGAGAATTACATGGAAGATGCAGAAACCAAGATACTTACATGTACATGCGCTCAATCTGTTCCCAGCTGATATTTCTGTATGGAGCTTTAATACATTTTCACCATACCACTGTGGAGTCAGTTTTGTACTGCTCATACTCTTTTCTATTGAAGAAAGAAATTTCCGTCTCGTTCTCTGCAACCACAAACATACAAACAAAGAAAATGTAAAAACACACCCAACATTTTCTCAAATTGGAAGAATATGCAGACACAGTACATTTAGGTATATAATATTCTTACCCATGTATCACATGAGTCAATATATACAGGTACTGTCTTTATAGTATATTTTGATATTAAAGTGAATTTTTTATATTAAAGTGAACTGAACAATAAAATGTATGATGAATATAAACAAAAAATGTTTATTCATCATCGCCACATCCTAATCCTCCTTCTCCTCCTCATTCTATTTTTTATTATATTTCTCCCCTAAATCATTCTCCTCCTTATTTTTTTCTTTTTCTTCTTTTTCTTCTTTTAGCTTCCTCCTATTCCTTCCTTATTGTTCTTTTCATCCTCACCACCACCACCACCACCACCACCACCACCACCACAACCACAACCACCACAACCACCACCGCCACCACAACCTCCACCGCTACTACCACCACCACCACCACCAGGTTCAAGGTTGTTCAAGATTCTTACCTATGTTACATGCCTTGAGGGTTTGATCTGGCTTCAGCATGAGTTTGTCATCATCCTCTTTATTTATAACAGGATCACTTGTCTGTGGATTAAACATAAAATCAAAATGTCGTAGTCAACTTTTGAAAACAAATATTGCATAAAGTACACTACTGCCTAAAGGTTTTGGCATACCAGTAAGCGTTTTGGGCTGCGTCCGCTTCCCGATAAACGCTGTTAGGGTCGCGCCCGATATCTGCCTGTTAGCTGCACAGTAGCTGCCCGTTACCTGCCCGTGGGCAGTTTGGTCCTCGCTCAATGCGCGTGCTGAAGTCGAGCATTCTTAAGACGCGCACGCACACATAACCAATTGTGACATCATAATGCCTGTTTTCATCCTCTCTATTATGAAGGACGCGAGTAATTTTAAAACCAAAGAACTCATAAAACCGGTATTATTTATTAGTGTCTCCCTGCTGATACGGATCAGTAAGCAGCAACAGGTTTTGTACGTGTGTGCGTATGTGTCTGTGTGTTTGAGTGCAAATGAATATGAAACAGGCGTTGTAGGTGTGTGTGACAGTGTGTCTAACAGCCTTTTCACACACAGCTAAAATTCTATAAACATGATTAGTATAAACGTGTTTGAAACGTGTTTAAACTAATCACGAGCCTTTCACACACAGAAATTTCGGTGCGATCGTTAATCGTTTCGTGATTAACTACTGCTCGTAAAATGCGCAGTAGTGCCATTGCGCATTGAAGGTCATGTCATATCAATCAAAGCAAACGCTCCATCCAGTTTAAACACGTCTGAAACACGTTTAAACACGAATAACCTTTCACACACAAAATGTCAAGCTCTCTAGATACGAACTTCGTATCTGCAGCCTGCTTTTAGGGGCGTATGGATCGTGACTTCGTATCTATCCCAACATCGTATAAACGATGTTCACACTGAGAAAATTTTCTATAAACATGTTTAAAACTGTTGAGTTAAACACGTTTATACTAATCATCTCTAGAAACTATGAATTTTAGCGGTGTGTGAAAAGGCTGTAAGTGAAAATTTGTGTAATATATGCTTCTGCAAGAAGTTCTGCAAATAAAACCATTACCATTACCATTACCAAGATGGGAACAAAATAAATAGATCAAGCGACAAATAAATAAAAGCAAAAAATCCATAATAGAAAAGTAGATGAAATAAAGATATAGAAAATTAGAAATTACTTTTTTCTCCCTCACTCTCTTTAATACAGCTTCTCACTTTCTTTCTCTCGAGGGTTCAATCATCGCTACTAAGATCACGTGATCTTACCTCGTGCACATGATCTGATTATAAACAACTATTGAGGAAACAACAAGTTGCAAGACAATCTGACTCCAAGCCCTTTGTTTAGAAACACTTGAAACATAACATGAAATGTATGCCCCTCTTGTCAAAAGAAGAAGAAGACCTGGAAGCTCTGGTAAAAGCTCGGTCACAAATGCTATTACGAACTACTACAAACGCCGTACGAACGATTTTCAGACAATGGAAATTCGGGAAGACAATGGAAAAACGGAGATTCATACGAACCTTTATGACCATAGCATATTAAGGCTATTAACTGATAACACAGTGATCAGATACACTAAAATCTTAGATGTTTTTGGTAATTTATTGGGCTACATACATGTAGCTCAAATGACGTGCAGCCTTTTATTACTCTAACAAAAATTATTAAAAGTAGTTTGCTGTCAAATAAACAGAACTAGATAAATCCACCGTTTCTACAATAGATGGTATAGCATTTGTTATGGATAGGGGCATTCATACTGAAGGCATTAAACAAGAGTTTTTCTCACATTCCAGAGTTTTCTCTAAAGTTGCTAGGCAACTATCCTCAAAAACAGCCTTTTATTACTCTAATAAAAATTAATAAAAGTAGTTTTACTGAATGTTCGTACATTTTGTGCTGCGCAAAGATTCAATCAGTTTAATGTTGGCCATTACAAGAAGTGGGTTATTGATGCTCATGTACCCTTTACAGCTACATGTTTTTGCCAAAGAAGGAAAAAGGCCAGTCAGTCACTCAATAGTGTCTGACAGTGAAGTCTAGCAAGTAAATGGTTTCCTTGCATAATTTGAATATTAGGACACTGCTAACGTTCAAATTTCACTCTATAGGACATACACGACATATTCATAATTCCTGCGAAATTCTACAGAATGTAATGATGGCTGCAAAAGGGACACAGAATCTTTAACAGATGGTTTTTCAAATTGGTTTTGGGAGGTGTACATGTAAATGGGCGTGATCAAGTTATGAAACACAAGGTCACTAACTTCCCATTGTAATCATATTGCTCTGAATCATATTACATTCTTCGGCCAAGAAACATTTTCCCATGCTGCATTTATAAACACACATTGCCATGTTCCCATAAGAAAATCAAAGTCAAAGTCAAATTCTACTATAAAGACGAATTAAGGGCCTGGGAAAACATGATAAATCAATATCGGTAATGTAATCAGGACTCTATACACTACATTTTGATCACAGGTGGGTCCGGATTAACAAATTTAAGTTTCTAAGCATACGCCCCCTTTTTGTACATTCTTAATTTTTGGGGTCCTCGGTTAAAATTTGGAGGACCTTACATGTATTTCTGGCAAGCCCTGCTTACATACACTGAATTCAGAGCTTGAGTCCTTTAGTTCAACAAATAATTTTGATGAATAAACTTTCAAGAGTCATATATTGTTAATTTGTTGCATTTCGGCCAAGTCTATGTGAATCTCAAATTGGCAGTTCGGTCAGTGGTTTGTGACGTACACCTGGGGGGTGTTTCACAAAGATCATAAGTCAAACTTAACTCTAAGTTGGACTTAATACATGTACATTATGGAGAGTCATTTGTAGCCTTAAAATAAAATAATTTTAGACTTTTCATAAATTCCACATCAAGAACATGAAATATCCTTGATAATAGATGTGAATGATTTGAATCAACATGTTATGCCTTTTAAAATAACTTTTACAAAATATTTTCAGAGATGTTAACGGCTTTCCATAGTTATTAAGCCAAACTTAGAGATAAATTCAACTCAGGATCTTTGTGAAACATCCCCGGTACATGTAGTCCCGGATGACTTTCCTGTTTGTCGTGTACAAAAATATCATAATTTCTTTTTTCTTCTTCTTAGTGCTTTCTCACTTGGGACACTACTTAAAAATGTATTATGGCTAGCAAATAATTATGAGTCTCCGACAGAGAAAGGACCCTCCTGAGTCATACATTTTAGAAAAAAATTGAAATTTAAGTCATTCTGTATGTTGGAACAATTGGAAAGTTGTTCGCAACAACATCACAGAGACAATGCTGATTCAGCCAATTTGATGAGCCCATGCTATTTCAACTTTTGGAAAAATTCATAACTTTTTCATGTTTGTCCGATTTCATTCAAACTTTCACCAGTCTACTTTTAAAAAATAGTTCTGCTTTCCTCTAAGAGTAGTTTGTTATCAAGGTTGGATTTTCCTTCATTTCGTCACGTTTATGTCTGACAGCATGGTACAAATGCATGATTCCTACACCCGGGGCGCTTTCATAGGAACCACAAAATATCAAACTTACACTGTATAGACTGTTCGGACTACAGGAAATTTTAATGTATACGGTACACAAGTTGTTTAAAGAAACGTCATATAAAGAATCATCGTACATGTACATGTATATAGAAATGATTGAAACACAAGAGAAAAAAAAAACGTATAAACAAATGTCAATTGACACGACAGCTGGCCAATCATCGGTGCGCACTCACGATAAGCCCCGCCCAGTTACCGGTATATGATTTGTGTACGATAAAACTTTTGAACAGGAATAGGAGCATGATTCTTTATCTAGTTCTCGTTTGAAACGATGCTCAAACATGCATTTCACTTCTAAAAAAACGTGCTATAAGACGTTTCTTTAGATGACATTCACACCAGGTAAAATGCAATAGTTTTAGCTCTAGGATTCTTGTATAGCTATACAATCAATTCTGCTGGTCTGAACACACTGTAAAGGCAGGGTAAGAAGAGGGCTCATCACTTCATTTCTGTGACAGAGCGAGGTTACGGTAATTGGGTCAGTCTATTTTCTGCCCCAAAGTACAGAAACATGTTGTGACTCATACGTGATACACACATCGTTATACACAAGTCAGACAGGTGCATGATGCGTGATGATCGAAGGATCTAAACACAAGTTCCTTACCAGAAAGTAATTTTTTTCAGGATAGTCAAATTTGCATATTTTTTGTGACATTTAAAAACTTTTTATGCATCTATCATTATTATAAATATAAAAATAATAATCATGATAACAAAAATGGTGCTTATAAAGTGCTTACCACCGAAGTCTCTATTATTATTAGTAGTAGTAGTATCGTTATCATTATTATAACTATTATTACTATTATTATTATTATTATTATTATTATTACCATTATCATTATAATAACTATTTTGTTCAGGGGGGGGGGGGGGTGGGGTAGCATTCCAGCTAGTTCAATCGCACTGGCTTACATACCATTTAATAAAAAAGAACGAAAAATCACAAAAAAATGGTTGCACTAACAGATACCCCTGGGTACAGAGAAGCAACAGATAAAATGCCTTGCCTAAGGACTGATATTTTAGGCACTATGCTGGGAGTCTCACCCACTACTTTCACATCACCAGTCAAATGCTTTAACCACTCAACAACAAAAAAACAACTATTGGTACACAATAATAAGAAGGATATTGTATAAACATTACATTAATTACCTTTGATCCATGTTTCTTGTATTCTACCTTGAGTGTATCATACCCGTGTTTCCTAAATGGGGGAGGCAGCCCACTTCTCGTCTTGATATCTGAAATATTTGAAAAAATAACAAACAATAATCATAAGAGACATCATGAAGTGGTCTTAATAAGATCTTGTAAGATTGAAGAAATCTCATTCTTTCTCTTTTTCTGTCTAATAGTTAGATGTGGAGGAATGTCAACAAGTTGTTAAATACTAATTTCCACTTGTGTAGTGCGTAGTGGTGATCAATGATCACATAAATGAAAGAGAACATTTATACCAATTATATACCTCTCTTTAGAAATCTAGCCATCTGATTGGTCAAAATTGCAGTCGTGATTTTTTATATTCCCGCAAAGATCATGAGTGATATCTGTTGCCCTGGGTAACGGGCCGCATGAATCAATTGTGTTCAGATCCCCCATTGGTTTACGTGTTAACATTTTCTTTGTGCGAGTGCGAACACCATACAGTGCTTTATGTCTGCGATTCCCAAATGATTGAAACTTTCAGTCATATTTCAAGCGAAGGTAAACATACAGCTTCTCAGACTTTCTGTGATGTTTGAACCAATCTTTACTCAATAAAAGGATAAGGTTAGAATTCTTGGTAGATTTTTGTTTCAAATCAGCATTAAAGGTAAAGACCAGTAATGGTCATGCGATTGCATTGTGAAAGAAACGTTGTGGAATCGATCAGAAAAGGTCGATCATCTAGCATCTAGCATCTGCAAGGTTCTGGAATCATCAAAATGATAAGAAATTTGGCTCATTCTTCGTAAAGTTACAAGCACTATACACAGAAAGATGTATATGGGACTACCCTATCTCTCTCACCAGACCATGAGAGAAATAAATTTACCAAATATATGAATTAGTAGGCGGTTTCCCGGCAAATTTTTTATCATCGTGTATTAGTCAAAACATATTCTTTCACATGATTGGTAATGAGAGCTTCCATTTCATTTTTTGAAATTGGGGCGTTGCCAATACTGGTCTTTACCTTTAAAAAGAGATATTGACTGCTTTAATATTTGAGGCCTGGCTGTTTTATATGCTCAAGGGAACACAGGCACATCCTACAATGACCCTGAGGTGCGTCTGGGTGCATCTCTATACCATTATACTATTATTTAAACTTATGTACTGTATGTTTCAGCTTTATTTATTTATTTATTTTTTTTTTTTGTGGGGGGGGGGGGGGGGGGTCAAAATCAGTTTCTTCTTTTTACAAAGACTAGTTTACACATAATATAGACACACACTTGACCAATTGCTCCACAGACTGCCTATACGGGGAAGGTTGACAAATGTCAGTTTTATATTTTTAATCCCAAACCAAATTGTTATTTCTGTCTAGGTACACACCAACCTTCTTTTATTTTGTTCATCAACTCCTCCACAGTGTCATCCAAGTTGACATTGTGCAAGACGATGTGTTTGATGTTCCGATGTAGAAAGGAACGGATCAGACGAATGGTTACTAGCACTTCAGACGATCCTTCCATTTTTCTTCTTCTTCTTGAATAAAAACCTTTCGAAAATTTCTTCCTGCAAAGTCTGGTCTAGTATACTTGCATCACCAGAAGGGTATCAAGGTACTTTAAGTCCACTTCCTGAAAAGATGCAAAAGATGGAGTTGGAAGAAGAGACTCATAAGAAAAACTGTTACCTTAACATAAGGAGGTGGATGATTATGGTAATAATAAAAATCATAGGTACATTTATATAACGCAGCTACTATATGAATATACTCTACTGCGCTTAATACAAAGTATCATATTATTACCACGGCTGTAGCTAAGGCGCCAGAATGAGGCGCTAAAGCCTTCAAGGGATTCTTTCCTACCAGGTACCCATTTCCTTAACCCGAGTGAAGAATGACAAATGTAAATTAATGTCTTGCCAAAGTTCATTGGTGCCGCTGCAGGACTCAAACCACAAACTGTGTGGTTTACAGTCTTAACATATCTACTAGACCATGCCAACTCTACATGACTGTCAGAATTTATTTGGTTTTCCATTTGGTCAATGATGGATTCAAATAAAATGATAACAGTCTATCTAGGTTTCTCTTTGAGTAGAGATTGATTCATTCAAGGTGTGGTGGGGATCAAGCTCCAATGTTATATTTCTACTGATTTATCCCTTGGTTATCATAGAATGGGGATAAAATGTGTTTACCTTTTCACCAATTTTGACAATTTTATAAAAAGAGCATGTCTGATGACTTTTTGACACATGAAAAATGTCTCTATCTCTTCCTGCCTGACTCTGTCTTAAGACTTCACCAAATGGTTTTGATATTTGTTTTTTATGCTCAAAATTAAACAAATACCTGTATATTACCTTAGTTTGAGTACCATTGCATTAAACAACCAGAACGCCAATGACGTGGCGCTCATCCGCATCTCGCAACAGCAAATATCGTAAATTTTATGTGGTACACTTTTGAACTGGTCAAAAAATAAAAATTTGAAAATTCTGCGTAGAGGTATAGTGTACCAAATTTAGCTCTATGATATAAAGCAAATCAAATCAAATCAAAATCGGTCGAAATATGAAGGAGAAGAAGCATTTTTTGTGATTTTTGTATTATTTTTGGAATAAATTTGCATGAAGTACTATAAATAATCAATGGAGCAAAATCTCAAAATTCTGTGTAGAAGTTTAGTGTTCCAAATTTAGCTCTACCAGATAAGGCAAACCAAATCAAAATCGGTCAAGAAATGAGGGAGAAGAAGCAATTTTTGTTATTTTTGTTATTTTTGGAATAAATTTGCATAAATTACCATAATTAATTAATGGAGAACAATTTCAAAATTCTGTATACAACTTTAGTGTACCAAAGTTAGCTCTACCAGATAAAGCAAACCAATCAAAATCGGTCGAGAAATGAAGAAGAAGCATTTTTGTGATTTCGAATAAATTTGCATAAATTAGCATAGATAATGAATTTCACGATTCTGTGTAGAACTTTTAAATCCCCTTCCTAGCCCTATCATATGAAACAATCAGAAACAAAATCGGTTGAAAAATAACGAAGAAGAAGCAGCATTTTGAAAACTGTGGATGGACGGACGGAAGCTTATGCCATGACATAAGCTCATCGGGCCCGAAGCTCATCGAGCCCTTCGGGCCAGATGAGCTAAAAATGATATTGCCATTTTAATATGTATATTGTGTATGCCTACAGAAAGTGCAAATACATTTGCACACAAGTAGAATGTACATTGTTAATACATGTATGGGTGCTAATACAGTCATTTCACTCATTTGTGATGCTTCAGGTTCATATCAGTTCAGGTGTCGTGGACGAGTGGATATGTCACTAGACTGTGGATCACAAGGTCCGCGGTTCAAGTCCCACCACGGCACTAATGTCCTTGGGCAAGACATTGATCTACATTTGCCACTCTCCACCCACGTGTGAAATGGGTACCCGGTAGGATGCGAAAGCTAATGTGCTTATATTAGCAAGTGAGCGCATGTAAAAATGACGCCTGGCTGGAATGCTCCCCAGGGAGTGGAGAATGTGCATACATTGTGTGCAGGTAAGCCTGAAGCCAATGACCAGGGTAATGATATATCTATCTGTAAAGCGCTTTGAGAGGGCCTTTGGTCCTGAAAAGCGCTTTAGGAACTAGCTATTATTATTATTATCCTATTCTCTCTCAAGGCCAGAGCCGCCAACCTCCAGAAAAGAAAATCAATAATCACAAGGCTCAAAATTAGTAATTTGGGAAATAAATCAGTAATTTCCTATGCGACGCTATGAATCTAAAAAAAACTGCCAACACTGCACGGATGCATGCGCGCATGATTATCTGAAATTTTGGGTTTTTACTCACACATAGTTGTTAAATATTGATTTTCAAGTCATCACAACACATCCGTTTTCAATACTTGATACTTTCCGGTCTTTCTCAACAAGTGTTGGATGGCCGCCATACTGCACAGCACTCGCTACGATAAATCATATTTTTGTTTTTGTTTTTGTAATCCGTAATTTTAGACAACATCCCATTTTTCTTGCTTTTAGCGTCGTTTTTGAACAAGCCTCAAGGAAGGTCATAATTGAAGCACAAGACATTTTGTCTCGAAGTATATATCCACCTACATGTATGGTACCTCATTAGCTACAATGTACAATGTCATTCATTTCTCAATAAAAAAGCCTGTTATCACTATGAGTCGATCTTTAAAAAAATATGATATGCTTTCAATTACTCTGACCTTGACAAAATCCATGATTCTATAAATATCCAGATGGTTTCATGTACATCAACATACATGTATTAATTAGCATTCACAAAGAAAAACAAGGGATAGGTGAATGAACTTGAAAGCCAAACTACTGACAAACACGTACATTAAACCCCGCCCCTCAAAAAAAAAACAAGAAGAAGAAAAGAAAAAAACATCAACACTTTAATACCATATGTCCACAATCCATGATAGCAAATACCTAAGTACTGGTAGGCATTTAAACAAACTCTAATGTCTAGAGCATTCAATGTTGTTTTTTAAAGATTTACACAAACATCTGGAGTTATGTGCCTTTATTAAAAGATAAATTACTTGATAAACCAGTTGCTGTGTAAGCTCTATACTGTAAAGGTACATGTACAGCTTTCTACAGAAGAAAGAAGATTATCCATAATAACTATTGGGCCGATTGGGCAAAAACTCAGAATATTACCTATAAAAAGCCTCAATTACCCCATACAACCAAATTTGGGTCCATCTGGGGGAGGGTTACATGTAGGTTAAAGTTAAAATTAAAATAATTTAATTAAAACTTAAAAAAACAACATTGAGGGGATACTGATTCGACATGATTGGACCCAAAGCCATAGTAACAGGCAAGTTCTTTTGCTGATTATGGAATGGGGGGGGGGGGGGGAGGCTCAGATTTGGTTTGGACGGGGGTGTGCGGCTGAAGTGTCTAAACCCATACCCATTTTTAAGGGTCATTTTGCATGAATAATTTTCACTTTTTCATCCCATCAGTGAGGAGTTTGGATGAAAAAGCGAAATTTTTTCAATTATTTTTGCAGAATTTTGCATCTAGAATTTTCACTTTAGCAATCGGGCGATGGAAGAACTTAATTTAATTTAATTTACTTTTAATTAAGGAACTTAACTATCTTGATCTAAGGAAACACGAACGAACGAACTTTAGCAAGATTATGGGTAAGATATTACAAAATAGTAACCCTTGATCTGAAAAGTGGGGGCACTTTCATGGATTGTGCAGCACAAAATCATTCTCCATGTTTAGGGATTTTTTTGCAAAAAAGTAACACGTCAGAACGGCACAGCCTTGAATACCATATTAGGCGAGTACCCCCCCCCCCCCCCCCCCCCCCGGAATAGTTATATAGCTAGGAACTTCAAATTTCAACCAAGGTTGCAATGAAAATAGCCACACAAGTAGCTTCTATTTGTAGTATTGACAACAAAAATACAAAGTGCCCAAATTGATTATTTTTATGTTGAAGTGACATTTTTACAATTTTTTTATATTTTTAGATCTATGACTTTTGACCTTATCCTCCATCCTATTAAATACAAACTCTTCTTTGTGGGCTAAAATCATTAAACAGAACAATGAAAGTGTGGTATATATTTCGCCATGTCTATGCATTTTAAACATACAGTGTAAGGCTGCGACGGGTAGTCAAATGCTCCAGTACCCGCACGGTTGACAACTACTCGGGTACGATTTTTCGTACCCGAATATTCGGCCGCAAAAATAAAAAAAAAATGTCCAGGCCCACGCTTACCCGTGCCAGGGAGAGCGGCAGCCGCTGGCATGGTACCGTCGGTAAAAATGTTTCCCAACTCAAGCACTGTCAAACTCACCTTTCAGAAACTGGGACCAAATATCCAGATTTCTGTTTGGACTTGGAGGAAAATGGATTATTCTGCCATCTTTGGTTTTTAAAACAGCATAGTTTACTGTTATTATTCTTATTAAATCGGCGCCTTCAACTGCAACTCAAAGTAAAATTGCATGCGTTTTGGGCGAGGGACCTGGGAAACTGCCAAGTGGTATGGTAGTGGCAAAAAAATAAAAAAAAGTCAAAAAATAAAAAAATTCAAAAAAAATCAAAAAAATTCAAAAAAATTCAAAAAAATTCAAAAAAAAATTATAAAAAAAACATGGCATCCGAATATTCGAGTATTCAAGTATCTGGGAGTGTACTCGGGTACCTCATTACACTGTTGTGCACAGCCTTAATACAGTGTATATGAAAATCATATACATGTACCTGTAGGAGCTCTGAAATCATAGGTGAATAGGCATATTTTTATGGGCGGGGGGGGGGGGGGGGGGGGGGAGGAGGAGCTGAGGCTTAGTAGCTGAATATCGAGTATTCTGTTTACCGGTATAAATTTCATAAGTGAGCGAGAAAAACAAAATTGTAAAAATGTCACTTCAACATAAAAATAATCAATTTGGGCACTTTGCTGCCCCAATATTGAAATCCTCGTCAATATTAAACACATTAGTTTTGAAATTTAAAGATCGATATGCGGGTTAAATCTTTTTAGTTTCTACTGACTTCTTCGTCAAAACCATTAATTCATTCATTTTGGATCATCATAT